TTTTGTCTGGGAGGTGCTCTGCAGTGAGTTGTTCAGTGACTTCATCCCACTTCGCTTTGGCTGCAGCCGGCCAACTCCCAGTAGATCATCGTTTTACGCCAGTTCTCCTTCATGACACGAACTGGACTCAGACCTGCAGCCTCAGGAACATCTGACCACTGACCACCAAGCTACCACGCCCCATCAGTGGCTTCATATCTGCTGGGAGCCATCTGTCAACACGAAGAGGCTGTTTCTACAGAAACTCCTTCACAGATTCAGCTGTTTAGCTGATTTTAGCTAATGTTCGGCTTGTTTTAGCTTTATTAGCTCAACGTCTTCGGTCGTTCAGCGTCACTCTGAAGTCTCTCTGTAGATTTAGACGTTCTTCTGTCCGACCCGTGGTGACCCAAGCTGCATGTCAGCTGTTCAAACCAAACAAGTTCAGAAAGCCTGATTGGGCGAAGGCTTTAGAGTCTCCAGTTCTCCAGTAGAACTTTAGAACCTTCATCCAGTCCCTCTGGATCTTCTGTGAACACGCCCTCCTCTCTTCAGAACCCGGTACCATTTGTTCTGGTAATGAAGTAAACGCCGATGGAGGAAAACAACAGATTAATGGATGTGAGGGAATCCTGAGAAGATTACAGATTTATTAAAGGAGCTGAGCCAAGCCGGGCCGGGTCGGCTGGGTCGCCTCTGCAGAACTCTGTCTAAATTTATTTGGATCCAATCCAACAGAGCGAGGTTCTGTCCCAAAGTGCGTTAAATCACATTCACAGCTCATCAGAACGGGTCTGTACCATCGGGTTTTCGGCCTCTTTAGACTCTGACGTCTCCGAGAGCAGAACCTGTCAGCGTGTCGGGCCTGGACTGGGCTCAGTGAGCAGGAATCGGACTGGGTTCACTGGGTTCTGATAGAGCAGCTGTAGTTCTGTTAGTTTGTATTCCAGAGGAGTTCTGGAGAAGGCCTGAAATGTGTCAGAATCCTCCCATCAGAACCAAACCCACATCCAGTTCCACGTGTTCAGCTAATTTATTTTAGTCACTTTGGGTCGACTGGAAGAAACGCTGAGTTCTGCTTGGTGTCAAACAGTTTGTTTGTTTGTTTGTTTGGAGCCAAACGTCCTCTTCCTCAGTTCTTCAGCTTCCCTCTGATGGACGTTTGTCTTCACTGAGTACCAAAGGGCCCGTCTTTAGCCAGCAGACAGAAGTGGACCTGTGGTTCTGGGACTCAGCTTGGATTGATAAATCCCTCTGAGGCGTCAGCCTCAAACTCCAAACTGTTTATTTATTTGTTTATTTGTTTGTTGACCTGTCTGAAACCAGCAGCTTCGCTCCTCAGACACTGAGATGTTTCCTGACGTTTGTTGAAAACCTGAGCGAGCGAGGCGGCGGGTGATAGGCACAACTTAAAGGAATGCTAGTTTACACGTTCCTCCTCATTAGTCAGCTGTTCACAAACAGCTTTAAGCGTGCAGCATCAGCCTTCTGCTCACAGTTCATGGCTCAAAAGCAAGAGTTCTTTATTTTTCTAAGTTCTGGGAGGAAACTGGGTTTGAATCAGCGGAGACGTTTTTGGCTCCATCAGCGAGTCAGACGATGAAAGTGAAAACTTTAAAGAAATGCTGTTTCAGGGGAGCTGCTGCTTCACAAAACGCTCTGAATACGAGCACAAACACTCGTTTTCTGCTCTGTTTGTTTTTTAACCTCTGAAAATGATTTTCAGACTTGAACTGGAAATCCTAAAAGTTTTCCTGACAAACCAGCTGGACTTGTTTTTATAGTTGAATTTTATAGCAGCAAGGATTCTGAACTCACATGCAGATTAATCTCCCTTCCCTCCCTGCTGAGGGTCCTTAGGGACTTGTCTGGTTCTTATGAGGGATCATAGACAGGATGATGATGGACCAGGTGTCCCCGCTGTCTCCACCAGGAAGCGGTTCACAGAAGCTGCCATGTAGTACTTTTGGAACCAGAGTCTGTGCACTTGTGCTGTGAGGCTTCAAGCCCCGCCCATTCCCCCCGCACACAGTCATGGTGTCACTTGACCTTATTAACTGATAACAGCGTAACAAGAGTCACACCTGAAACATCGGGCTATTATTTTACCAGCAGCATTTCCTGTTTGTTTACTTCAGGGGGCGGGGCTTAAAACCTGTGCTGGAACCAGCTGATGGTTTAACTTCCAGGTTCAGGTCAGATGTCTAATAATTTACTCTGTGGGAGATGTTCTGGTCATATGATGCTAATTACCCTCAGGAGGGAGGGGAGGGAGTGTAATCTGCCTGTGAGTTTAGCTGCATCACCATCTCATACAGGTTGAAGCTTGGACCTTTAGACCTTTTCATTTTTGTCTGAAAGCTTCAGGATGAAAGCATCAAACTACAGAAAGAAGTGGAGTTACTTTAAATTGAACCTTTTTAGGATTTGTCGTCCTGAACGATGGCGAATTGACACAAACTCGTTACCTGACACGATGGAGTGCAAGTTTGGAGAAGCAGAACGTTTCATCCCTGACTGCTGACCTGAGAGGGGTAGCTTCAGTTTGTGGACGGTGTCTTCATCCCTACACGTGACCCTCGGTCCCAGTTTTTAATTCTCACCTGCAGGGAATTAGATGATTGCTTTGCTCTGCACAGAAACCTTTAACCTCTTCGTTTAATTGTGCTGAGGTGACGATGAAAACGCAACAAAGCCTGAGAAAGAACCAGTTAAGAGTTCTGTGTTTGTTGGAGGTGAGAGCCTTCTGTTCCACCTCGGTGAGGGTGTCAGAGTCCTCCTTCAGCAGCAGAAGGGATCCTGAACAGTCCAGGAGGGTTCTCCAGGTGTGATGCTGTCTCTGACCGTCCTGTCACTCATTCAGATGGACTTGTTTCAAAGATGGAAACTGCTGCCATGAAAAGAGACTGTCATCACATATCATGGACCACTGGATGGGTTGGATGTACCAGGATCTTGTCCAAGATTAGTTTTAATCAAACCTTTCTCATTTTTCCATTGTTTTTATTCATACTTTTCCGCAGCCCCCTCATCTCATTCTGTGACTCTGGTTCCAGAACCAGACCTCCCCATCTCCTCCTGCTCCACGGTCCATCAGAAGTTTTAAGTGTTATTTCTTCCTCTTTCTTTTGTCATTCATACTGGCAAGGAGGTAAAACAGAAACTATTTCCAGTGGGGTTTCCATGGAAACAGCAGCTGCACACACAGGAAGCTGAAAGCTCGGCGTGGCCGCGATGACGCACGATAAGTTTGAGTTCGGAAGGTGGAAGACACCTCTGCTTACCCCGAGACATCACAACTGTCCTCCGTATCCAACTTTTTCCACTGACGATCAGTTTCATGTCAAATTTATTTATTGACTTTTGACCATAAACTGTCAAAACAGGTTTTAACAGAACTGGAACTGTTGGGATGGGTCTTCAAATCAGACATCGGTTTGTGCTCCTGCCTAAAGTAATGAGGTACTGTTGCTGGAAGCACAAATCCAGAAACCATAAATTGGAACCAGACGAAGCTGAAAGTGAGTGAAAATATTCAGTCCACAACAAGAAAAAGGGCTGAGCTCCACTCAACTTAAACGTCTTACCAGTCCCAGAACCAGTCCAGAAGAAATCCCATGGGTTCCCCTGTCCCTACTGCAATTCCCATCATGTCTGCTTCTTCAAACTCAGAGGTGAAGCTGTTTTTCAGTGACTCACATGTGATCCTGAAAGCTGTGACCAGCTTCACAGTAACACCAATAACCCACATACATGTGAGATCTAACCTCGGTGGTTCCCAGCACTGGTCCTTGAGGAACACCATCCTGCATATTTTAGTTGTTTTCCCTTCTTTAACTCGCCTGATTTGAATGAACAGGTGATTAACGGGCTTCTGCAGAACTTTATGAAGTCATTAAATCACTGCATCATGTGTGTTGGAGCAGAGAAACTATTAAAACATGCAGGATGGTGTTCCTCAAGGACCAGGGCTGGGAACCACTGCTCTAGTAAACCTAACCTACAGCCGGGTGAGAGGGATCAGTTTACCAGGACCAGTTGTTAGAAGTTCACCGTTTTATCGCAGAGTTCTAATCTTTTCTTGGACTGCAGCCAGAAACGCTCAACAGAAGAAGGGATTACAAAAGGAGAGACGTACGCCTTGGTGTCTGGTTCCTGAGAGATGGTCGGTAGGAACAAGAGTAGAGTAGATGGATCAGGACTTTATCTAAAGAAGGAGCCGCTCTTCATATATTAGTCCATTTAACTTCTAACTTTCTCCTTTGGTCAGAAGATGTGAGTCCTGACTGAACAAATAAGATCCTGGGACACAAGCAGCTGGTTGACCTCCACAGGGTGTCTGTCTTCAGATTAGAGCTTCTCAGAAAGCCACTTCTCTGCATTAAAAACAGTCTGTTGGATTAGTTGATGAATCTGATTCCTGGCCCTTTGGTTTCAGAAGGTGCTTCAGGTACGTTCCTCCAGCAGGAGACCTTAGAGCAGATCCAGACCTTGGTAGAGAAACTGGGAATGCTTCAGGTTCTCCAGGAGGAGTTTGGTTTTCCCTTGTGAACTTGCTGCCTCTGCTATCCAACGCTGAAAAACATCCAACGATGGCTGAGTGAAGGACTGGATTCTGGCAGTGGAGTTAAACCATCATCAGATTGTTGCTGCAGAAATGACCTGCCTTTGAGCTGCTAGCTGTTCAGATACAATAGATGTTCAGCAAATAAACTTAGATGTTATTTTCTGAGAAGACCATTGGTTGTGAATATAAAACACATTATTTTAAAATAGTGTGGGGTTTTTTCTTTGCACATTCCAGGTTTGTTTGCAGGGTTTTTCCAGGTGCAAGGGTTTTGTATCTGATTAAAGATTTTCCTGGAGAAAACTCTAAAGTAGATTTTATTTGGCGACACATGGGTGCTCGTTATGTGTTTAAAATGTCACTAGTGTCCTTAAAGACAGGAACATAAAATCCCACAGAGACCCTGACGCACAACTTCAAGATGGCTGACGAACTGTTTCTTCTGCGTTTGCAGCTCTTCTTTATGCCACCATCTTTGGAAACGTCACAACCATCTTCCAGCAGATGTACGCCAACACCAACCGCTACCACGAGATGCTCAACAACGTCCGGGACTTCCTGAAGCTGTACCAGGTTCCCAAGGGCCTGAGTGAGCGAGTCATGGACTACATCGTCTCTACCTGGTCTATGTCCAAAGGCATTGACACAGAAAAGGTAGGACAGAGACGCAGTCCTGCAGGTCCATTCTGACCCGAGGCTTTGTGCGTCCTCTTCAGGATGCATGGTGATGAGGGGATGCAACAATGACCTGCTGCTGCTTTAGTTTTAGACGTGAAAAGATCTGGACAGGAGTATGGAGAGCTATCAGAACAGAATGCCTCACTTCTGATGAAAAACTGCAGAAACGAGAGAAAACGCTAAAATTATCCTTTAAAACTTTAATACGGTCACAGTTTTAACCAACTATTTATCTAAAATGACAAGTTTAGCAGACTGTACAGTATTTTCTATATATTGCTTGAAACTTTTCCACCGGAACACGTTTAATATCTTTATTTGTCCACGGTGATCCATCTCTTCCTCGTTGATTCCATTTTCCAAGTGCTTGTAGAGAGAGTAACGCTCTTATGAAGAGACATCAGGCCCACTTTGTGTATAAATACCTTGCAGACAGAGCTGGAGCTTTTTACAGCACATTTTTGTCACTTTGGGAACCATTATGTGGAACACAGTAAGCTGTGTGTGCCAGCTCTGCCCCCCACCCCAAGCTTCCAGAAGCTTCAAGCAGAACCCACTCCTTATGATATCCTCCTCCTGAAAGGATGCAGAGACACTTCAGAGTCTGTTAGGAGATAAAATCTTCCCCCGAGCCTTTTTGTTTCCCCATTTTCAGAAAATGCAGCAGGATTGTGGATAAATTGGTTTTCTTTGCAGCACCTGAACATCTTGCTAGTTTTAAACGTGAACGTTCCCATTTCTCGCTCTGCTTCAGGTCTTGTCCATTTGTCCTAAAGACATGCGGGCGGACATCTGTGTCCATCTCAACAGGAAGGTATGGATCCAGGTCTTTGGCAGAACCCACTTCTTTGTTTTGAAACATCCAATCACGTCCTTACTTTCTGCAAAAACATTTCCAATCCTTCAGTCTTAGTTATAATTTTATATATTATTAATTTCCTGACTGTTTGGTCTCATGTCGTCCCCTTCAGGTGTTCAACGAACATCCGGCCTTCAGGTTGGCCAGCGATGGCTGCCTGCGCTCGCTGGCTGTGGAGTTCCAGACCACCCATTGTGCTCCAGGAGACCTGATCTACCACTCCGGGGAGAGCGTGGACACCCTCTGCTTCGTGGTGTCGGGGTCACTGGAGGTCATTCAGGATGATGAAGTCATCGCCATCTTAGGTAGGTGGTTCTAGGTTCAGAGAAGGTTCTTTGGTAGAACTGTGAGAATCAGCAGACTTCATTTTTCTTCAGCCTGTGAGCTGAAGGACACTGTGTGCGCTGTGAGTAATGAATCCATCAGTGATTGACTGGTCTCGTTAGCGAAGGTGGTTCTGATTAAACTGACGCTGGTCTTGTTGCTCATTTTGAACAGGTCCAGTTCTTGTTCAGAGCAAAATGTTGGCTCACCACAGAAACAAGCCAGAGTTTAATCAGAGAACAGTAAACATTTATTTGTAGCAGTTGGTGAGACTTGATGTGATGATCCCAGTGCCAGAGCCGGTTCTGATGGTAGATCTCTCCACCTCCATGCCTCAGCAGAATGACCGTCTTCCAGCAGCATCAGCACCCCGAGGCACATTTTTATTTGGGCCTGTAGTTAAAGGCGCTGCTGTCAGAGATCAGGGAAGTTCTGGTTTATTGAAGCTGACGTTCCTCAGGGACCTGCAGGAGAACCTCAGCTGCAGCAGCTCCACCTCAGTAAACTGTCTGTAGAACAACCCGTCTTCTGTTTCCTGTGTTCTCAGGTAAAGGTGATGTGTTCGGAGACGTGTTCTGGAAGGAAACCACGTTAGCTCATGCCTGCGCTAACGTCAGAGCGCTGACTTACTGCGACCTGCACGTCATCAGGAGGGACGCCTTGCTCAAAGTCCTGGACTTCTACACGGCCTTCGCCAATTCCTTCTCCCGCAACCTCATCCTCACCTGCAACCTGCGCAAAAGGGTAAGACACCTGCTGCTGAACCCAAGACCAGAACGTGTCCTCAGAGTGACTGCAGACTGGACTCTGAGACCAAAACGTGTCCTCAAAGGGGTCGTAGACCGGACTCTGAGACCAGAACTTGTCCTCAAAGTGGTCATAGACCGGACTCTGAGACCAGAACGTGTCCTCAAAGTGGTCGTAGACCGGACTCTGAGACCAGAATGTGTCCTCAGAGGGGTCG